CTAAACAGTCCCACAGAGCACATTTCAAATAGAACAAGGAGTGGCGAACAAGCTCGTTTTCAGTGATTCGTAGTCATGCCAAATACATCACAATAAATATTACGCTGTTTATATATAAATCAGTATTCAACCATAAAAAACGCAAACAGATGTTTCGGGAAAGGGAAACTAACCTCATGGGTTATCCGGGACTAAGTTCATCTTGGGACCGGATATGGAATTCTCAAAGATCACATAATTGTTAGGTCATTCGACCGTTGGACCACTCGGAATAGGGGGTGGGCCAGGGGATTCAAATTCAAATTCTGCCACAGCTCACTCGCATCCGATATCACGTGACTGGTCGGCCTGCTATCAATTTCGCCATCATTGACGGATCAGATTTGTTTTCACTGATCTGTACTTCAAATCTCGGTCTTATAAATCGTTCCAGTTCAGTGACTTGTGTTCTTCCTAATCAGGGACGGGGGTTACAGTTATAACAAATAAGTTATCTAGCTATTATCGAGTCACATGTTTTGGCCAACAATGTACTGAAACGTGATTGAATGTATTCGTTCTTATTCTAAGTGTTGATAGATTAAAAATCGGACACCAGAACCACTAACAATGAGATCAATGAACAACAAGTGAATGTTTCAAACGAGGGGGGGGGAGGAGGGGTACACCTGCGGGCATAAGTATATGGTCGTACTGATCAAACACGTGTGCCTCTAGATGGAACCGGTACTAAGTATCGATGAGATAGGGAACACAATCGACCGAGTATGCCACGACAATGTGGAAGCACTAATCAGATTCTTTGCGGAGAACCCCCCGTTCGGGGGGGGGCGAGTGTATGGGATAGNCCTCCATGGGTAGAGGGTAGAGAAAGCGTACTATCATCAACACGCGCAAGCCCGCGAGCATGAACACGCCTCCGCGAAATGACATGAAGGATCATGCGATGCTAAAAGTTCATTCCGTTCCTAGTAGAATGATTCTCCATCAGATAAAACTTGTCTGAATGTTCGTGTAAGTGCAGTGTATAATCTGTCAGACGAGCTAGGCTGGCTAAATAATCCATAAAGCAGAGTGGATAGGTGTGTTGGTCAATTGTCACAATGTGTTTAGCCCACACCGGGCACATCGGCCAAACTCATACGATCCGTTCGATTTTTGTGTATAACCGACAGGACAGCAAGAAAGACCATCATAAATTAGCTATGTGTATGAGCAGTCTATTCGGTAACGGGCTGCGCAAAAGCGGTGTTTCAGCCGTGATCGTTGATCGTATAAATTTTCGAGTAGAATAAACGAAACAGACGGTCGGGTAAAACAGGTGATTGCCGATGAAGATGGACCCCGAGACAGTAAGTGAGTGGTTCGCCGTGTTGAGATGTAAATGTGAAAGCATACCCAGGTGGTCCTGCCGGGCCGGGTGAGCACACTCACACTGCGGTCATGATTGCTCCGAAGTTTACGTCTTGCTTCGGTTTGACATTGACATAAAAATGGAAAAAGCTAATGACAACGATAATTGCACTAAATAAGCTACAAAAATACTCAAGTTCTTCAATAATACAAAATTTCTGTTTACCAGGACTAAATGGTGTCAGGATTGTATCGAAGAGTCGTTGCGCCATGTGTTATTTTATTGTGAATGTTATAAGGTTAATAACACAAAGATGTCGGTAGATAATTGTATTTGCAGACGTTTCGGTTAGTGTGGATAACCTTTCTCAAGGCAGATTTAACAATCAAATGACTCAGAGGAAAGGATCACATGTCAACGGATGTTTCGTTGTGTGTGTGTGTGTGTGTGTATTCGTGCGTTCAGTGAGTGCATATTTGAAATCCGAGTTCGAGTATTGTTGTGTTGTCGCAGTCTCTGATGTGGTCTTCGGCTATGGTGTGAAGAGCGACTGCTATGTCTCGTTCTGTTGTTTTAACAGAATTATTTTGTCCGTATATTTCTTTTCTCTTGTGTTCGGTTATTCTTGTCTTAAGTTGTCTACTGGTTTGTCCAATGTATTCTGCGGGGCATTCCTTACAACTGATTCTGTAAATACAATTGTTTTGATCTTGCGATTCGATCGGATCTTTGACTTTCATGAGATGGCGTTTCAGAGTGTTGTCAACCCGAAAGAATGTGTGTGTATGTTGAAATCGCCGAGAATCTTTCTGATTGCCTCTGAAGTGCCTGATCTATATGAAATGCCCATAGAGGCTACACGGTCCTTTTTATCTTTAGGTAACACTATTGGTTTGTTCGCTTCTAGCTGACATCTTACCAGGAGTGGCGGATAGTTATTGTCCTCTAGCACTTTTTTGAGGTGTTTCAATTCAATTTTGCGGTGGTTGTCCTCATTGCAGAGCTTTTTACCTCTGTCAGCCAGAGAGGAGATTAGAGTCCGCTCAAAACATTCCGGGTGAGCTGATTTAAAATGTAGTGGTTTATCCGAATGTGTTGGTTTTCTATGAACACTGGCGGTAAATTTATTTGAGTTGTTCACCCTGAGGTGACAGTCTAGAAAACTGATGACTCTGTTCACTTCCTCTGACTATTGTGAAATTGATAGAGCTGCATCGGTTGTTCAGACAGTCAAGGAACTCATGTGTATGTGTGTATGTG